GCTGAACTGCAAAGACGTATTTCGAATAACACATAAATTCAAACTTTTTCCTGTCAAATGTCTTTGGAGTGTGGATGAAAAACACTCAGTTCTTACAGACGACACTTGTTTGAAACCTAGAGTCATGCATTTCCTTTTTCATTGCTCAGCTAAGTATTTTCACAAATGTACAAAAAGCCCATATTAAAATTTATTTTATTTAGACAGCAGTTCTCAAAACCAATGCAAAATAATATAGAAAAACAAAAGCAGAGGAACAAAATTAAATCAGTAAAACTGATTTTAGAAAAATATCTCTAGTGTTCACCACATTAAACCCAAGTTTAAAAGATAAAACATATTCACTGACTAATTAATCAGTAAATAATTGTTTTACTTTTGGATTTAAAAAGAAGACATTTAAACCATATGTCTGTAAAAATCCTTCTTAAAGCAGCAGAACCAAACCATTTTCAGATTTCCTTTAAAAGTTTAGAAACAACATGAAATGCTGGCCTGTCACTGGGTGGTGTGGGGTACTTTACTCAAGTAGAACTGTGGTATTTGTACTTGAGTGTTTCCATTTTCTCCTACTTCATACTTGGACTTCACTACATCTCAGAGCCAAATATTGGACTTTTTACTGCACTACATGTATTTGATCATTTTAATTCCTTTTCAAAATCAGATGACTACAACGAAAACAGTACAATCAAGACGTCACTGGGACACTCACAGGCTACCCAGCAGTATGTCAAGTACGTCAAATTTGGACTGGACTCGTACTTGTAACAGAATTTTTACACCGGTATTTCGACTTCTCCTTAAAGGATCCAAGCTCTTCCCCCACAGCTGCTGCCTGTGTGTGTGTGTGTGTGTGAAGGCGTTTTCACAGGTCATGTCATGGACTAAACAGGCAGCAGCAGCAGCTGGTTAATAATTCATACCGTTGTTGGTGGTGATAGTGGAGACGGCGTCCACGTCGTCTTTGTTGGGACAAATCGTCTTGCAACGTTCATGGATTCTTTCCCTCTAACAGTAAAAACACAGAAGATTGTGGGTTAAAACTAACAGCACGTTACCACAACAGCAGAGCATGAGGCATGAACACGTGTGACAATAGAAAAGAAAATCATTTTAATAATTAAAAATGTTGACTATCAGTAAGGCCTGAGAGTGGCGCTAAATGACACAAGCACCAGGTCGGTCAAAGGTCACAGCTCCTTGTCGCTTAATGAGAACAACACAGCAGTCGGCCACAGAAACAAGGAAGCCTCGGAGGAATGTCTGACACAGTCAAATACGGTTTCATTGTCTGTGAAACAGCGTTCTCACACCCTCAGGAGGAAGCCAGGATCTAAGTGGAGGATTTAAAACATTCAAAGTAAGAATAAAACCCTGCTATATGAGCAAACGTCAGGTTAACCGTGTTGATGTGTCCTTGAAAAACACACGATGCAGTTTGTAATGACCAGGATGGACGTCAAAGAACATAACATGAGGACAAAACAGCCAACCCCAATCTGTGAGTCCTCAATTTATTGAAATGAAAATGTTCACCCAGCAATTAGGGAAGCACTGTCATGGAAAAAATAACTGCCACAACAAAAAGGTTTCATGAAAAAATAAGTCTGATGTTCTCCCTGTAGGTGCTGTAGTGTTGTGTAGACTCAGAGGAACATGACAACCTAACGCAAAATGTGTCCCAAATACCGCAGACAGAGGTTAATTTCACTTCCAGAGTGAGTCATTTATGAGTTTATCAAGTAATAAAAGAGGAATAATCAAAGGAAACACAGAAGCCTCAGTGTGTGGCTCCTCTTTATGTTGTACTGTGGCTCATAAATGCAGAGTTTCCCATCAATATGTCCATCTGTGGCACACCAGCACACACTGCTTCTGGCAAAGCTGCTAAAGGATATCAGCAGAGTCAGTGCTCTTCCTCTCCTTAAGGACACAAACAGGCTTTCTCATATAAGAAGCCCTTTTTATCAACCCTTATTTGACAGCATGACAGTACAGTGAGACACGAATCACAGGGAAAAGGACAGCGGAGGCACATGCTGCACCGTCTCAGGAACGTCACAGTTACACAATAAGAATCTGGTTTTAAAGCACTCAACCAGCAGGACGCTGCCAACCCCTCATTTCCACCGGGTGTGGCTGTGTTGCATTCTGTCTGCCCGTCTAGTCAATGGCTGTGATTCCACCGGGTCCAGCTGCAACTCTCTGCACCACCTCGATAAATCTAGTCGATTTTTGACAGATGCCAGTTGTGCAACGCTCACACGATTCAACCCACCACTCAGTTGGTTATAGCCTACCAAGAAGTCGCATCACAACATCAACCTGCACCTAGGGTTGGGCGATACGGCAAAAATGTAATCTCGATCATTTTTTTCCCATATTGATCGATAACGATATACTTTTCGATATATAAACTGTTAATGCTGCCAGCTTTCAAAGAGTATCCCAAGTATGAAGCCACAAAAATTTGAGGGTCCATTAGTTTAAAAATTAAGACAACTTACTAAAATAAATTAAAAACTAAAAGTTGTAACAAAAGAAGGTAAATTAGAGTAAACGTGCAGTGCAAGTAAACATAAAACTGTTGTAAACATAATTTGTAAGTAACACAATTACAGTTTTTTCTTTTCCAGAAAGACAAGTCTGTCTACATCACCTGGCTTTAAGAGGTAGATTAAATGTGGTAAATATAAAAAGTATACAACTAGAAACTTCACACAATTTGTCAAACTTTTACATTTTTTGTGTCAGGAAACATAGACTGTCAACAGTGTCTGGATTTAAGAGGTAGTGCAAAAATGTGCAAAATGTAAACATATTTAACATATGTTCAACTTATTCATCAGAATCTGTAAAACACAACACTATTTATTTTGAAGACCAGTCAGTGCCTGGCTTTAAGAGGTAGATTAAATGTGCAATAAAACTAAAACATAAAACAATAAAATGTCTATCCAGTGCACATATTTTGTAAAAAGTTTACAGATGTTTTACCAGAAAGACTAATCTGTCCACTGTCTGGCTTTAAGGCTGCCCTGTTGCAGGGTACAATATTACCCCCTGTGCTAAAAGCCCGCTCTGAGGGTGGGCTAGTGGCAGGGGTGGCGAG